TTGCAGTAATTTTTATGTACATTCTACAAGTTTCTCAGTCCACATAATTGCAGTAGGTTCACAATTTTCCTCAGTGGTACATTCTTTTTAAATTGTCGTCTGATAAATTAATTATCTCAAACGTAATGCGAAACAATAACGCATTACATTTGAGATAACTAATTTATCTGATGACAATTTAAATTCCAAGATCTCGGAGTGACTTTTAGCGTAGACAGATACAAGGCTTAATAAACACTTATATAATAGACAATAACAAATCATAACAGAGCAATGTTATAATTCAGAAAAAAAGTTTTATTCTTATTAAACGCTTTATTACAGGCATTGTTAAGAAGCTCTTATCATGCAAAATCTGGATTCCTCTTAGCAGACTTACATACTGCGCTTACCTTATAAATCCTTTTATCATACAGTCGATTCGTTTGCATAGTGAAACATCTGCTCATATAGAATTTCTGTCCATGGTAAGTATACGAACAATCAAAACTTCAACCTCAATAAAATAAATATACTTATTGTCACAATTTTCATTTTTAGAGCACTACAATCATGGGTTACTTGGTGATTAGTTATTTCTGTGCATATGTATTGTCTTTAATGGCAGAGTCACCGTATATCCTATTAATGCGAATGTTCAGTCAATCTCATAACAGAAAAAGGAACATGTGATTGTAATTTCACATACATGATTGCGATGGAAATAATGTAATATTGTAATAATTATAATTAAAATTCAATTATATAAAATCAAATTTTAGACGTTTGTCCCTCCATACATTTGTGTGAAGTCATATTCGACTGCGATGGAGCTAAGAAATAAACTAGGTACAATTTGGGTGAACTATGTGGAAGGAACAAGATCTGAAATAAGCATGAATTTAATAAACTGAATGATTTTCGAATGTCAACTATTGCGTAGAATTAATTTCAATTTTAGGAAATTAATAAAGTAATTAATAAAGTAAAACTCAGGTCAATACATCAAACGAGCTATAGTTAAGTGTACTAAATAATATTTATTAATCACAAATTATAATTTTCCGACGGTAAGTTTCAACGGTACGTTTCGATTAGAAAGGAAGACTAAGGAGACTCCACTTACATAAATAAAAATGGACATATTTTGCGTTTCGAGTTAAGTTTCGATTCTCGACACTCGCGGCGCTTGTGAACCTTTAAAGACCTGCGCGTAATGAGTAGAGTGGCATTGTTCTCCTGAGGAATATACTTTAAATATCCAGATTCTTCTTCGAAAATCGGAGATAAAAGTGTTTTTCAGGAAAAAAGTCCTGGAAAGACTTTCCTTGTTTCTTGTTTGTTTCTTTCTACCATATCTAACTACGGCGCATCTAATTACGCGCAGGTCTTTAAAGGTTCACAAGCGCCGCGAGTGTCGAAAATCGAAACTTAACTCGAAACGCAAAATGGGTCCAATTATCGAGGACTGCCTAGACTGAGTGGAGTCTCCTTAGTCTTTCTTCGTGGTTTCGACTATACTTACGAGGAAAGGGATCCAAATGTCCCTTCTTCTGATCTTAATGAGTTTTTAGTATATTATTCTCCAGACAAAAATAAACGATACGTATTTTTTTATACGTGCCCATATGCACTTTTAAGGGGTAAAACATTCTTTAGAAGAAAATCGGTTTTTCTCTTTCGAAGCGGATATCGTCGAAACTGTAAGAGATAGAATAAAATGTTTGACATAAAATGTTACGTCCTGAGTCGCGTGTTTCAGTACAAAGCGGTCTCGAGACGCGACTTAGAATCGTGGGAGCGTGAGCGCGGAACGGGGCGCGTGGGGCGAAGCCTTGACTCGGGTGAGATTTGTTTTTCGATACGTGTTTACGCGTTGAGGCAGGCTGCTGTCATCAGTGCCTTCGTTATAGGCACGAATTGAGTTACAATATTGCTTATGAGCTACCTTTTTTTGTAGTATTAAGGCCCGTCTACAATACACGGAGTAAGAAGTAAGAGTAAGAAATTGACCAATCACAGTCGAATGTGAGAAGAATAATCGACTGTGATTGGTCAATTTCTTACTCTTACTTCTTACTCCGTGTATTGTAGACGGGCCTTTATGCTTACGTTAAGTTTCCGTATTCCCTTGTTACGCACAGGAAAAAAATTAAAACAGAAAGTTAAAGGAATTGTCAGATAAAGAGATAGTACACGAAGGTGTACGAGGAATTGGTGAAGATATAAAGATCTCTTTCCTGAGGGCAGCTGTGATATTTTTATCACACGCTTCGCTCTATCTACGCTCTCTGATTCCTGTGCGGGAAAGGGAGCAGGGAAGAATAATAAAGGGCCTTATAGGCAAAGAATTGAAAGAAATGGTAAGAATTAATAATTAATTTTAATGTTTAGATTACAAGATTGGTTGTTTACGATCCGCGGCCTGCTCGTGATTACGGCCGACCTGGTAGGTTTGCGGGTGGGCGCAACGTAAGACGGTGAACGCAGCGGAACGGGACGTGGTGTTGGTCGTCCTTGTTCCCTGTTAAGTTGTTCTTCCGGGACGGCCGCGGGAGGACAGCTCGTCGCGGGTGTTTTCGATGGTTCCTCGATCGCGAGGTCACGCGTCACTAGGACCACGTTGAGATTTTCCCCCCAATAACTCGCGGGGTCGAAATCCCCGTACGCGTGGAGTGCTTGTTGTAATGCCTTGAGGTGCACGCGCCACCTTCCTCGGTTCCCCCTTGAGCACTTCTTCTTCGGCATCTATGTGCAGAAGATTATTGTACCGAGAAGGTGAAAGAGGGGAGGGAGTACAGAGGCCTCGACGCCGTGAAAGGCGCTCATTTGAGCTCCGCAGGAGGCGAGCTTCATCGTCACTTTGGCTTAGCGCCTCCGAAGCTGTGGATGGGAATAGCTCCTCTAACGCCGCAAAGACGCACGATCAGGGCTGGAAGGTCGGAAAGACGGAAGTGTCATGAGCGCTAGTTAAAGCGCTTGGTGAGCTTACCGTGCTTGTTTATAGAAAGAAATGGTGAGGAAAAATGAGGACCGTGTCTTAAAACGTTCTGCTTTATATATGTTTGGCTTCTTGGCCCCTCGCGGTAAAGGATGTTTTTGTCCTCGTGCTATTGCGAAATTTTCTAGAACGTGCCGATCTCTTAATTAGTGATTTAATTTGTTAGTGATTAGGTTTTACTAGATTTGGACGCGTTATCTTGTTGCGGGGGTCGCGATATTCATGTGGGTGTGCTCAGCTGCCGCGTGCTGCAGTCTAACGCGACAGAACTTGCATATCTTCTCTGCGCGTTTTTTCATTGTAGGTTTCCGTACTACTTAGGTTCTTTTCGCTCTTTACGCGCGTGGAATTCTGATGTTTGTTTAAGGCTTTCTTTCTATTATGCGTGCTTCGATTTTATTCACGATAATTTCGCTCGTATTCTGCGGCCTTTTGTGACCGGTGGGTGCATTTAGAATTACACTGAGATGTGTTATGTTATCGGTACACGTTTTATTCTTCTTTTCGTGAGACTGCAGTTTTTCCTTGTGATTGCTTCGAAGTCGGCTGTTATATTTGCTATTTCCTATCCCGTTGCGGCGATTTGTGCAAGAGAGTGCATTCTTTTAACGTTTTTGTTGTTTAATGTTTGGCGCAGGCGCAGTGTGCGCGCCGTTCAATCGCGACGGTTTCAGTGGCATTGCCTATAGATGTACGCGCTTGTAGTCGGCACATATTATGTCTAGGGTAACTCCGGTATATACGCCGCAGCTATCAAAAACTTAATTTATTAAGTATTATTTATTATGTTTAAAGTGAACGAACTATATCAGTAAAAACTTTGTACTGTCTATTACTATGAAAAAAATATTAGAAATCCGAAATATTTAGTTTTCGTATTAAAAAATAAATTTTTTGAAATCTTGCATTTTTGCTATATATAGATAATGGATGGGATTGACAAAAATGCAAGGGTTTCAACAAACTAAACAAAGAATATGAAAGCAAAGCACTTGTATTTTGCTATACAACATGCTTTACTATTCCTCTATACGTATGTATCACGAAATAATCACTAGGTCTTTTACACGCCTTACAGTAATCATTTTATGTAGATTATAATTTATGATAATGTTACTTGTTACACACACAGCGACAAATCGATTCAACTCACAATAATTTCATTAATATTAACAGTAAGAAGCTGAAATTATATTGTAACTCAATACTAATATAACATAAAGGCATGTAACAGAGTAATTGCGAGAAAATTACCCCCATTCCTTCTATTTTTTCTGACTTCCGCGACGTAAATCCCAGTGCCACGTATATATCGGAGTTATCCTATACGCTATATTCCGTGCTCGCGCTCGCTTGGTAATAGGACGGGGCGCTATACTGTAGGCGCACCGGACGTTACATAAAAGTTGCATGGTTTCAAGAGTACTTTATAAAGCAAAAAAAAATTTTTTTATTTTTTTTTAATTTGTTTATTCCAACTGTCGCGGAGCGCTAAAGGTGTGTAGACCGAGAGATCGATAGATTGATAGATCGAGTGTGTGTGGTAAGAGCGAGAGAGGTGTGTGAGTATTATTATTATTATTGTGTTGTATTAAAAGATAGGATGTAACGGATATGTTTCGAGTTGTTGTATAAAGAGAATAAAATAGGCGTTCAACCAAAGAAAGAGAAAGTTATATATTCATACCCCTAAAGGTTGGGATACATAAACCATGAATCAATCATCAAATTGATCCTTCGAGCCGGATTCAGCTGTAATAGGCTGAGGTATGTGAATAAAAGAAAACGTTGCATATAACAAGTTTTGCACGTTAGCAAAAAAAACGGATGTCTGGAAGGCATTTGGCATTGTGGCCAATCGAAATACAATTGAGAAAGTATCGAGATTGCCCGGAAAGAAGCAACTTAACCTCAAAGCTGAGCGTTAAGATAATACATCGTATAGCTGGAGAAGCGATTTTGGCACCGTCAGGTAACATTCATCTTGTGGTATTTGGGTGTTAACTATTTTTATTGCAGAATGACCGATAAAGAAAGGGAGTATGCTGATCTTAAGCGAAAACGCGCTACGATTAAGAGCCAGATTACCAAATTTTCGACATTTTTGGATGGATTCATCGTTAATAAGGCAGCTCTAACGCAACTTCGTATTAGGTTGGAGAAAATAGAACAATCATGGATGGGCTACAGCAACATCCAAGATCAAATTAAAGCGTTGGACAGCACTGAAGCATTTACATGTAAGCAACAACAAGAACGATCAGAATTTGAGGAAGCATATTTTTCGATCATAGAAAGAGCACATCTCATTTTAGAGGAAAACACAAATCAAAGGGTTAACATAGAGGTAGAAAATGTAGCCGTAGGTATAGTTAGCGAAAACGCGATTGTAGCAGGTACATCGATAAAGTTACCAGTTTTGAATCTGTAAACTTTTGAAGGAACAACGAGCAATGGCCTATGTTCTTTAGTATATTTTCGGCGTTGGTAAATAAAAATCCTAATTTGAATAATGTGCATAAGTTTTACTATTTACAATCAGCATTCGGTCCAAAACCAAAAAAAGTAATTGAATCTCTTGATCTAACTGAAGAAAACTATCCAAGAGCGATAGAGTTATTAAACGGTCGTTTTGATAAGGCTAGATTAGCCACGCGACATCACGCTAGGGCAATATTCGATTTGAAACCGATTATTAAAGAATCTAGTAATGACTTACGTAACTTAACCGATAACCTCAAGCAACATTTAGAAGCATTGAAGGCGCTTAAGTACAAGACTGATACTTGGTGTCCGTTAATCATAGAGTGGATTTTAACTCGAGTCGATCCAATAACAGCGCGTGAATGGGAAGACAAAACAGCTCCTAATCCAGAATACAAAACGAAGGAGTTCATTCAATTTCTTGAAGCTAAATGTAACATGTTAGAGAATGTTAGCGCGTTAGATAATACAAAACTAGATAGCGAAAAATCGAAAAGGTGTAAAGGTGTAGCGCATGTTATATGCAAAGGGGAACATAAGACCTATCAATGTGAAACATTCAAGGGTTTAAATGTCAAATCAAGGTTAGCCGAAGTGCATAAAGCAAGGCTTTGTCTAAACTGCTTACACCCAAATCATATAGTTCGTGATTGTAGGTCCAGTGCGTGCAAGCAGTGTAACAAAAAGCATCATTCATTGCATTATCAAAATAGTGATAATGAGAGTAAAAGTGAAGTTAAAACCGAAGTAGAGGTATCCAAGACAAGCTCAATAGCAAACTCACTAGTAATATGCGTTCCCATGTGTACGAATTCTGAAATTCTTTTGTCAACTGCATGTGTGCAGATAGTAGATAAAAACGGAAAATGGCATGATGCGCGTGCGTTATTGGACAACGCGGCGACGATCAATTTCATAACTTCTGATCTGCTTCATAAGTTAGATTTACAAACAGAAAGGGTAGCGGGTCAGGGTAAAGTCGGGTTTAGTGGAAATGCTACGCGTACGAAAGAAATTGTAACAACGATGATTAAATCAAAGGTGCAGCAATATTCTCAATCGTTAAAATGCACAGTGGTTGATCAGATTACTAGTAAGATTCCAGAGAGTCGAATCGACATATCACGATTGAAGCTTCCCGATTCTATATCCATTTCGCAATTGGCTGATCCAACGTTCAACGTACCGCAAGAGATAGACTTGCTACTAGGAGCAACAGTCTTCTGGAATGTATTGCAAAAAGGACGAATTCAACTCAATAACGAACAACCGGTATTCCAAAACACGAAGCTCGGGTGGATTCTGGGCGGAAGCTTCACAGCCAAGTATCGGCAACCAAAATTTGTTGTCTAGTAACGAATGATAATCTCAGCAAGCAATTAGAACGGTTTTGGGAGCTTGAAAAATGTGACCTTCATAGAACCTTAACTATTGAAGAAGCGGAGTGTGAGAAGCATTTTGAGTCAACTACCTATCGAGATAGGGATGGGAGATTTGTCGTATCACTACCACTGAAGGGCAAAATCCAAGATCTGGGAGAATCCGAGCACAACGCAATGAAGAGGCAAAAATCGATTGAGCGTCGATTCACAAAAAATCCCGTGTTCCAGGGCTGCGTTCCAAAACCTTACTCTGAGTAAGAGAGTTAACTCATGGTTGTTCCGAAACGCGGCGTAACGTACTATATAGGCGGAGCTTGTTCGTTCCAAAACTCGTAGTAAACGTACACAGAGTCAACTCTCCCAACCTTGCTTCTGAGGTGGGTTGAAGAGTTAACTCCTGAAAACGCGCCATTTTAGAAGAAGTATAAACTGGGTACGTATTAGGAAATTATTCGGAATGAATTTCGATCGAAATTATTTCGTTTTTTTCTACAAAACAATAGAAGTCTAAAAAATAATTACAATTCCAATCAGCATTTGGAAGATCCATATGGATCTTTGAAATAAATACGGATTCGAAATTTTTACGGTTAATATTACTTATATAAACGATTTTGTCAGAGAGTTACAACATCTTTGTGCTTAAGCCCAAAATCCTATGCAGATCAAAATAGACTATTAAACATAGTTATTAAAATATTAACCCAATGATCTATTAACCTCTGCTATCTGATAGAATGTTTATCAGATCGCAGTATCAGTGTTGTATCAGAGGTTATAGATCATTGGATAATATTTTAATAATCATGTTTAATGGTTCTATTTTGATCCGTATAGGATTTTGGATCTGAACACAAAGATGTTACTCTCTGACAAAATCGTTTATATAAATCGTAACAGTAAATCAACACAAAAAGATAGTTTGCGTCAACTTATACTAGAAATTATGTTTATGACTATTAAAAATCATAATGACAATCTTTTTATCTTTGTATTTAGGTCCTTTGTATCACATACCCACTCGTTTATTTTTTTTT